CTGAACCAAAAATTGAAATAGTCATATAATATTTCTTCCTTTGATAGTAATTTCTATTTCTTTGGAAAAAGACTTGATTCTCCTGTAGATGTAGGTAGAAGGCAGTAAGTTCCAGTTGTTCTTAACCCGATGTTACCAAACCTCATATTAAATAGAAACAGCTTGCTTTTTTTATTATCAAAACCAGAAAAATCTCTCTCATACCGTCCACCCCCTGACTCCTTTTTCTTTCTTTTTTTTTGTGTTAAATGATCTTGGTTTTAATATTAATATAAAAATCCCCAGAGAGAGGTAATTGTATAACAGGCCAACTCCTTCATAATCTTTATTTGGTTGCTGGAGTGGTATGTATCTCCTTTCTTCCTCACTGAAACACTGAAAGACATTTTTACTATGTAACCCACAGGAAAAGGATTGGAGGTGGAATGATAAATCACAAGTGATGATTTTCTAAGATAATTTTAAGGGAACAGTGTTGATGGGAGATCTTCATACAAGAGATATTGTTATTGTGATTTATTTCATCATTTCATCTGATGATTGTGAATATTAATATTTTTATCACTTGTCCTAGTGTGAGGTTCTTCAGAGAAAAGGTACATGGCTGCTTTTTGTAAAAAATTGAGGCCAGGTGTTGTGAGAGCAGCCATGGGAAGAGTTAGGTTAAATATAACCCTGCTCCACATCCCACGCTATACACTTTGGCTAAAGCACTGCTGTGTGTTTTAGACTTGAGTCACTTATCACTCCTACCATTGTGTTCAGATTGAAGTTAGACAAGAAATTAGTATAACAAAGCATGGCGGGTGGAGGAAAGTATTCAATGGATCCTATGAAGTTGAAAAGCAGTATGAAATGGATTGACAGTTTCTATGACTCATAAAATGCTTGAATTAATTTGAAGAACTGATTCATTGCAGTATATGGTTTGCTTCCTTGATATGAAAAAAATGAAGACTCGAAAGGTTAAAATATGAAACATTTGTTAGCAGGGAAAGAAAACAGAGAGAAATCAACAGAGAAATCTTTCATAAGCGTGTCT